CCCCGTACGCCGCCCGGCCCAACGCGCCCTTATACCTGAACCACAGGACCAAGCCACCAGCCAACATCGGCAGACCAACACCACCAATCAAACTACGCACCAACACCTGCCCCTGGTGTTCACTCTTCTTCACCACCTCCGAATACCTCTCGTTCCCAAACGACACCCGCGAGTACTTGGTCTGCCACCCCAAACTCGGCACATAGACGCTCAACCACTCCTCCAGCGCCTTGCGCCACCGGTACACGGGCGACAGCACCGACGACCGCATCTCAATGTAATTCTGCAGCGCCAAATCATTAATGGCGTGCGCATCCGCCACGCGCACGGCGCTGTACTCGGCCAGCGCCAGCTCCCGCTGCGACGCCTCAAGACTGCTGTCGTCGTTGGTCATGCGGTCGTGCTTGTCGAGAATGTCGAACAGGATGCGCACGTCTTCCAGGCCGGCGTTCATGCCCTGTCCGTAAAAGGGGACCATGGCGTGGGCGGCGTCGCCGACGATGACGACGGACGAGGAAAAGTGGTAGGGCTTGCATTTGATGCTGATGAGGGGGAGGTGGGGGTTGGTCTGGAACTGGGACACGAGGTCGGCGGGGGTGATGAGGGAGGTGACGCCGGGGAAGTGCTTGTCGAAGAAGTCTGGGATGGAAGAAGAAGTGTCGCCGGTACTGCCGGCTTCGTCGAGTTGCTCGTAGATGGCGGCGGGGGCGAAGAGGGTGCAGGTGAAGGAGCCGTCGTTGGATGGGATGGCGATGAACATGAATTCCTTGCCGGGCCAGATGTGCAGGTGGTTGGGGGATATCCTGAACTTGGACTTGGCTGATGATGATGATGGGGCAATCTGGAACTCGCACCAGAGTGTGTCGATGTACTCTTGCTGGTAGTCCATGCGGGAAAACTTCATCAGGTGGTAGCGGACCGCGGAGTGGGCGCCATCGGCACCAATCATAAAGTCGAAGTCGACCTCGATTTCGCGGGCTCGGTCTCGTGGGTTGGAGGTGCTCTCGTCTCTGTCTTCGAACCAGGCCTTGTTCCGCTTGAAATCGGCGCCGGTGAGCTTGTGGTTGAAGAAGAAGGTGACGTTGGGCATCTCTTCGAGCATGTCGAGGAGGCGCTTGTTCAGGTCGCCACGGTCGATGGCGAGGATGCTCTGATCTATTCATCAACACACCTGCTCTGTAGAAAGGCAAAGGGGTCGAGGGGAGGGGTCTTACCCGTCCATGGATGTCGTAGTCTTGAGCCTCCTCATACAATTTTCCATCTGGTCGCTTGCCGTGGATCATGCGGCCTCTCATGGGGATGGTCACCCCTTTGACATAATCGATGAGTCTTGGCTGGTTGGCATGGCGCATAGCATTGAGGCCGCGTTCTGAGAGGGCCAAGTTGATGGATCTGGTGAAGTTGAGTGGTGTTGTTGAGGGATCGCGGAGGTCTTAGTGTTTGTTAGTTAGCAGTGACATCTTGAATCTTGACTCATGATGTATTGTAAAGTCAACACGGTAAAAAGACAAGACTCACCACCGCGCAGTTCATAAATCTCAACATCATGACCACGGTTGGCCGCATAAAGAGCAGCCAATGACCCGACCGGGCCAGCGCCGACAACGACGACCTTTTGCTTTCTCTCCTCCATTTTTCGAAATTGGGTTGGTAATTGAGAGGATTTCCTAGCTTTGCCGGAAAACCCAATGGAGGTGATAAAATGTGTTGGTGATTACATCAGACGATTTACACCAAGATCCCATGCGACATGCAGTTCGAGACTCGTCCGTGCGAGCTGATCCACTCTACCGACGCCCTGCTGGTGCACTAACACCATAAACGGCTTAGTGTGGTCAGAAAGGTGGATCAATTGGGTAAGCATCTTGGTCCCTTGCTGGGTCCATCCAGCAGAGCCCCACCCGTCCCGGACCCCGGCAGAGCCGCCGCTGCCCGCCACTGAGAATGGAATGCGCGTGGGACGACTTTTGGGAGGAAGGGCGCAGCGGACAGCGCCGCCAAAAATATTATTCGTCCGTCCACGCCAAGGGCCCGGCATCCCGACCTGTCGCCTTCCGTTTCGTTGTCGCTTCTTCACTTTGTCTCACGCCCGTTCAAGAACAACGAATTCTCCCGACTAGGATAGGTACCCAACACGAGGTGACAAAGGTACTTCTACTTTTATTTGCTCTTCAGACCCTGTGCCTCTAGGCCATCTTCTCCTACGCAAACTTGTTGTCTGTTGCTTCCCTTCGGCACATCAGGTCGTGCTTTTCTCGTCGTCAAAGAGCAACTCTTTTCGACATCCGCGCTTCCACCTGCGATCGTCAAGCTAACTTATCGGCCCCTCTTTAAAGCCTTTCGATAACCACAGACAGTGCCACTACAGTCTAATACGAGCACCACCACCATGACCGAACAACCCCCCGCGAAGAAGAAGTGCCTCGGCGCTGATTGCGAAAACGATGCCGGTTCCCTCCAATGCCCCAAGTGCTTGAGCCTGGGTATCAAGGGTAGCTTCTTCTGCTCCCAGGACTGCTTCAAGAAAAACTGGGTACGGCGCATCTTCTTTGGTTCCCTCATCCCACATACCTATGGATTTCCTCGACTGGGTCCCGTAATACCTTGCTTGGACTCGCACTTGCATGCGAACCTTGATAGCTGACCCTTGGGTTGCCCAATAGAACACCCACAAGGAGCTTCACAAGCTTGCCAGTAAATCAACCCGCTTCCCCTCCGCCTTTGCCAGAGCGCATATTCTAAAATTCTGCTCCAGGTCCCGAAACCTACAACCCCTTCCCTACCTTCAGCTACACCGGCCCTCTCCGCCCCGTCTACCCTCTTTCGCCGAAGCGCGTCGTCCCCAAGTCGATCCCCCATCCCGACTATGCCGAGAGCGGTATTCCCGGCGGCGGCCGTACAAGGTCCAACAAGATTGAGCAGCTAGACGAGAAGGGTCGCGAGGGCATGCGCAAGGTGTGCCGCCTCGCCCGTGAGGTTCTCGACATCGCCGCTGCCGCCATCCGCCCCGGCATCACCACCGATGATCTCGACAAGATCGTACACGAGGCCTGCATCGAGCGCAACTCGTACCCCTCGCCTCTGAACTACAACTTCTTCCCCAAGTCGGTCTGCACATCGCTCAACGAGGTCATCTGCCACGGCATCCCCGACAAGCGCGTCCTCCTTGACGGCGACATCCTCAACCTCGACGTCACACTCTACCACGAGGGCTACCACGGCGATCTGAACGAGACATACTACGTTGGCGATAAGGCCAAGGCCGACCCCGACTCGGTGCGCGTCGTTGAGACGGCCCGCGAGTGCTTGGAGGAGGCCATCAAGCTGGTCAAGCCCGGCACCCTGTTCCGCGACTTTGGCAACGTGATCGAGGCGCACGCCAAGAGCCGCGGCTGCAGCGTCATCCGCACCTACGTCGGCCACGGCATCAACAAGACCTTCCACTGCCCGCCCAACATTCCCCACTACGCTAAGAACAGGGCCGTCGGCGAGTGCAAGCCTGGAATGACCTTCACTATCGAGCCCATGATTGCGTTGGGCAAGTACCGCGATGTTACCTGGCCCGACAACTGGACATCCACCACCATTGATGGCAAGAGGACCGCTCAATTTGGTAAGTGCTGTTCATGATTCTGTAGGCGGTGGCTGAGTGCTGAGATGTTCAACTAACCCTGCTTAACAGAGCACACCCTCCTTGTCACCGAGACCGGTGTTGAGATTTTGACGGCGCGCACGGCTGACTCTCCTGGCGGCCCGGTACCCATGCCTACCGCCGCTGCTTGAGTTTGGTCGGACGCTAAAAAGTAAGGTGTGCATCGTTATCGGAACAAAAAAAGGCGTTTAAAGGGAATAATGTTGTGGTATAGACTTGTGCCGTAGCGTTCAATGCCTGAGTTGATACCCGGAGACATTTAAACGGGAAACCCAAAGCCATGGTCAGATCTATCAACCTACTGATCTCACAATCGCAGAGCTAGAGGCACGTTACATATATCAGGTTCGCGCAAAGAACAAGTGTCTGGACGGATATTCTGGAAGATTCTTAATCGAGAGGAGCGGGATTCGGGATCCTCACTTCAAGGCGGACTCGGCGGTAGACTCGGCGGGTTGTGGAGAACCGGGTCAGGAGCTCTCTCTCTCTCTCTTCCCCAAAAGCGATTTGAGATTGTAAATGCTTGGATAGAGTACAGACAACGCCTAATGTTTCACCATATTTGAGACTAATACTCATCACTTCGGTAGTCAACTGGAACCATGAGAACTTGGAAGAACCATGCTTCTTAAAAGTGATGTAGCGGATCATCGAGTCGGCGAGGCCGAGACCGGGGAACGTCTCTATGCCGCTTTGCCCCACCTCGGCCGGGCTGGGCTTACAGGATAGTGGAGCTTTGCAGAAAGAAGCTTGGGCCAACCTAGCCGCCCAACAGGCTCCAGGGGCGGACTTGGCAAGTGGGCTCGGGCTGGCAGTTCACGGCGAAAAAGAGTGGAATGAGGCCGGGGGGGGGCGCCTTCATCATCGAGGAAGCCCCGAGGCACCAGCACCAGCACCAGCTAAGGTAGGTATCTATCTGCCTTGCCCCCAACAACCCTCCTCCTCCATGCCTAACTGAACCTCCAGCTGTCTCCACGCAAGAACCGAGTGAGTCTTCCCACCACTGCCCCGAGTCTGCCAACTTGCGACCGCCCTTTTTTTTCTTTCCCAGAAAACACCAAATCCAAAGATCAACACGACAGCTTTTTCCAAGTCTTATCATCCCACCTCTATCTAACTTGGTAACCAGCCTCCACGTTTGTACAAGCACCGACACCGGCGCGCCCGAAGCTTGACATAGTCCCCCTTTCCTTCGATCGAACTCTATCGTCCGACTTCGATTCCATCATAGTTGCGCACGCCATCTGTCGCGCACGTACAACATCTAGCCCACGCTCGCGCAAACCGAGTCCAACCAGCTACACCACCGAAGCTCTAGCTATCATCCGATAAGCAAACAACCGCCAAAATGTCGGGCGAGGCGTGGCTATACCTGTTTGCGGTGCTTATAAACGCCGTCAACCTCTTCCTTCAAGTCTTCTTCACCATCATGTACAGCGATCTGGAATGGTACGTTGGTCATCTTACCCCCCTCTCAAAGGCTTCTACAAGTACACGGGACTTGGCATCCTGCGCGCTTTGTGGCTGGCGCCTCTTTTTTTTCGAGCAGACAGTTGCTAACGGCATCTTGCAGCGATTACATCAACCCTATTGACCTCTGCAACCGCCTCAACACCTACATCATCCCCGAAGTCGCCGTCCACGGTTTCCTGACCTTCCTCTTCCTTATCAACGGCTACTGGCTGCCTCTCGTGCTCAACGTGCCTCTTCTCGCCTGGAACGTCAAGAAGTAAGTTTCAACAACCGCTTGGATGACCATATCCGCAGCTTGCGCGAACCGGATAACTAACCATGCGGTGCAGGATCGTTGACAACGCCCACCTTCTGGACGCCACTGAGATCTTCCGCAAGCTTAATGTCCACAAGAAGGTATGTCATCAGCTCACCACAACCAACCGCGTCCGCTGTGGTGGAGCTTCAAGAACTGCTTCTAACCGATCTGCGCGCTCTCTAGGAATCTTTCACTAAGCTCGGCTTCCATCTCATTCTGTTCTTCTTTTACTTGTACAGTATGATTGTGGCCCTCATTCGGGACGAGGCTCATTAGGAAATGGCCGTCGCTCGCTAAGTTGAACTGGACTTCTCGTTTCACTACGATACCGCCACGAAGTCCCTCGGATCGGACGCGGAGCTCTCTCATCGGAGCTCGTGCTCGCATCTTTACCACCACCGTTTTCTCGAAAGTACATGACGGCGCTGGGCTCACTGGTACGCAGTACTTCAAACACACACAAACAAAAATCATATACAGTACAACCACAGGCAAGCAAGCAGGCAGGCAGGATCCTCGGCAACGGATGTTTGCAAAAGGACGGGAAGGGTTCATGAGCGTAACATACGACGACCTTGACAGATGGAATGGGAGGGCATGAAGCTATGAAGAAATGGCGGGAATGATTATATTATTGGATGGCGGGAGAAGAGGAGGACGAATTGTATGGTTTTGGCTTCTATAATGAAGAGGAAAAGCGACTGACGGTCTTCGGGAAGGTGGCAACTGCCTTGCTGTACGCCTCGGTTGGCATGACAGCTGGATAGACGGGGCAAAAGGAAATGATCAAAAAGAGTTTACGACCTCTTTAGCGATACCAATTGGTGTAGGCAGGTGAGGAGATGGAGAAATCGCGTGCTGTATTTTACTGCTTCATGAAGTATGTAATGAAACCGGGCGGGCTACGTCATGAAGATCATGGTCTCTTGCTGTCTTGTCAAATGTCCACACCGAGGGAAGGCAACGCGGGCCACATATGGAGAACAGGAACATGACTTTTTGGTTCATAGATATTGGGCGCGCTGTTGGAATATGTACTCTCTTAGGAAGCTGTTGTCGTCCTACCAAGATGGAACCGAATATTCGGGACACTGAACACTCTTTCTACTGCATGGTAGAGAGCGAGACAAGCCAAAAACACAAGAGCTTGGCTCAACGCTGATCATTGTCAGCCCCTCCCTCACAAGCAAGCCTCAGCTCCAAAGCTTGGTCCTTGCTCAGCCAGAGTGCGACAGCAACCCGGTTGGTGGTTCGCATATGGCCCGTGCACGCGTGTATCGGAGAAGCTCCACTCTGAATTTGAGGTCCACTGTTCCAGACGTCAACCAATGCGCCTGCCGCCGACAACTCCAAGAGGGTCGCATCCCATCTTCATCTCCAAAACAACAAAAACAACAAAAAAACATTTTCAGGTTCATCAAGCGTGCGGCTGGCGAGCATATCATCACCACAAATTCAGCAAGCCGCAGCAGAACTCAACAGAATCCAAATAGCCATGGCCGACTTCAACGAATACCCAGCAAACCTGTCAGTCAAAGACGCCCTCATTGTCCGCCAAGTCGCCGAACCAGACCATGCCGTAGTCCCCTACACCGGCGAGGATCTAAGCCGACCGCGACTCGGGCCCGCCAACCCTTTCCGCGACGATACCGACTCGGCTTCTACTGCGGTTGGCACCAAAAGGAAGAACGTCCTGACCGGCACCGCGGCCGAGACCTACATCAGCGAACACACCTTCCGCTCCAAGCACCGTGCCATCGAGCGCGGCGGCGGTCCCGCGCGCGAACAACTGGGGAGCACCGCCAAGAAGGCGGCGGCTGCGAAGCTGAGGCAACAGAGAGAGGGGAAAGGAAGCGCGACGATTGCGGATGGCGATGGGGCCTACGTCGGGCCGTGGGCGCGGTACAAGAAGCAGGAATATGAGGAGGTGAACGAAGATGAGCTGGGGAGTGATGAGGAGTATGAGATCGTCGAAGAAGGAGAAGGGGAGGAAGAGGAAGACGTGGTAGAGAGCGGGACGGTCGTCAAGGCGCCGACGAAGAACCTGGCGCGGAGGAAAGAGGTGGAAGAGCAGGGCGCCGAGACGACGACGTTCCATGGCACCGAGGAATTCGATTATCTCGGCCGGACATACATGCACGTCCCGCAGGATCTGGATATCAGTCTCACCAAGGACGTCGGGAGCGTCACGAACTTTATCCCCAAGAAGCACATGCATACTTGGAGGCACCATGCCGGCAAGCCGATCACGGCGTTGCAGCTGTTCCCCAAGTCGAGTCACTTGGGTCTGTCGGGCAGCACGGACAGCACCATCAAGATCTTCGATGTGTATCGCAATCGCGAGCTGTTACGGACGTATGCGGGTCATTCAAAGGCTATCACCGACTTGTCGTTTAACAGGGACGGCACCAAGTTCCTTTCGGGCTCGTTCGACAGATGGATCAAGTTGTGGGACACTGAGACGGGACAGTGTGTCAACAGGTTCAATACGGGCAAGACACCGCATGTCATCAAGTTCAACCCGTCGGTGGACCAGGGTCACGAGTTCTTGGCGGGCTTGTCGGATAACAGGATTGTGCAGTACGACAGTCGTGCGGGAGCGGATCCAGTGCAGGAGTACGATCACCACTTGGGCGCCATCAACACTCTCGAATTTGTGGACGAGAACAGGCGGTTCATGTCGACGTCAGATGACCGCTCGTTGAGGGTATGGGAGTATGGAATTCCTGTCGAGATCAAGACCATCAGGTATGTCTTCTTTTTTTTTTCTTTTTTTTCTTCCTCCCATTTTATCCTCCTTGCCAGAAGTAATCACATGCTAACATCCACCCCCTCAGTGAACCCGACATGTTCGCCCTCACCAAATCCACCCAGCACCCTTCGGGCAAATACGTCCTCTACCAATGCTCCGACAACTCCATCGTCGCCTACTCGTCGGCCTCGGACAAGTTCCGCCAAAACCGCAAGAAATCCTGGCGCGGCCACAACACCGCCGGCTCCGGCATCGGGCTGGTCTGCAGTCCCGACGGGCAGTTCGTCGCTTCGGGCGATACCGGAGGATATGTCTGCTTCTGGGACTGGAAGACGTGCAAGATGTACCACAAGATCCACGCGGACACGAGTGGTGGAGCCATTAACTGTGTGGTTTGGTCGGAACAGGAGACGAGTAAGGTGTTTACGGCGGGAGCGAAGGGTGAGATTAGGATGTGGGATTAGACACTGCCTAGGGTCGTGGGTCATTGGGTCATTGGGGGATTTGGGCGGTTTTGGTAGTTGTCGTCAGGGGCGACGGCGAAGGAAGAAGATTGGAGTGTCTCAGGTGAGAGCAATCAAGAATTACGAGCGACCGGAAAAAGATATTTACAGCATTGCTTGGCGTTGGGAGAAACATTTCGGTAATAATGGGATTGGATTGGCTTTGGTGTACAATCTTGATTTTGGAGGAGCGACACCAATCGAGACACCGGCGAACAGCCGATATTCTATCATCCATTCTCTGGCTTTGATTCTTTTCATTCATTTGATTGAGATATACATTCGATTGACTTATATACTGAATGTGCAATGAAAAGTGACAGTGGCTGGTCGACCGAGTATCTTCTTGTGATCCAGGTCAATCCAAGTCATTCACACCACTCGTCCAGCTGTCAGATATTCTCTCTCTACACCACGGCGTCGAGGTTTACTTCCCAAAAAGCCATGAACATTACTTTGCAGCCATGTGTGTTTGGATTGTTTGCTTGATCATATGGATCTAGCACGGTTAGTCGAGCTGCCGCTATTTGTCCAAATCAGCATTATCTATCATCTTGTGCACCATACCGCCTTGGATTTTACTTATTCCCTCCATACAGTTCCGGCCCCTCTACCGCTATACCATCATTTTCGGAGTTGTTCTTTTGCGCATCTTCCTCATACCCGTGTGGTGTGTGGTTGGCTTACGGTGCCACTACACTAGGTTTTGGAAAATACCACCGCCCAAGCATTCTTATTTAAACCGAAATACCTACTACGTTCGTAAAGGATGAGGGGGTAGTTCCTGCTACATAACTTAAAAAAGGAAGAAAGGAGGACAAAAGGATAGAAAAGGTTCAAGCTTATAGGAAAAAAAGAAACAAAAAAAGAGTGGACAATACCGGATTCGAACCGGTGACCTTTCACAAAGGCGCATCTGTGGAACAATGCGAAGCGAAAATCATACCCCTAGACCAATTGCCCTTGGATTGTTACAGAATATACAAAGCTCTGAGCCTATATTTGCCTTGGGCTTCAGTGCTCACCTATAGCACAAACATGTACAGTGATAGTCAAAGAAAAATACTGTCACCCTTACCTCATTAGATATGCGAGGGAGGGAGACTATATTTTTTGTTTTTGGATAAGTTTATCATCCATCTCGTTGATATTAGCAAGATGTCAAAGCAAAAAGGAACATCGTGGTGGCAACCAGTGATAAGTAAACCGAGCACGTCTAAATCCCGATCTTTGTACACCTCTTAAGACGGTTTCATACATTGTCTTGTTTTAACTATCAGGTAAAAGACGGGATCTAGAAAAGAACAGTGACTCCTTAACTCTATTAACCGTTGAAAGCCTGCGAATTTCCTCCGCCCTCAAATGGCCCAACATTAATGTTAAATAATTAAAGAAATGTTAGGAGGCTAAGAGCTCGTACATAAAGGCACCTCAGCGGCTGCTACGCCCCTTCGTTAATGGAAGCGTAGAATTATTTATAATAACGCTTATATCGGGTTGGATTCGCGGGAAGGATAATCCGGCACCGCGTTAAGGCGCTAGACTAGTATAAGACTCTATAATATTCGTTAGCGGAAGAATAGAGTTTGTATAGGTATAAAAGAGGTTTAACAGAGCGTATTTCATTATAGTTGGTAATTATTAATATATTTTTAAATTAATTTCTAATTTACTATCCCCTATATATAATTACGATTATAATCACCTCAACCTACCTTTCGCTTACGTTCCTAATAAGTTAATTATTACGGGCAAAGGGTAGGTGGTAGATGTGATTATGCGTAATTGTACGAAGGAGGAAGGAAGAGAAGTGCAGCCGAGTGCTTAGAAGGCTAGCCTTATAAAGGCAACCGCCAACGGGTCTGATAGGCCCGCGGCAGGCAGCGTTCTAACTAATTAATTGCCGGCAATAATCGGTTTACCGGCGGTAATAATAGCGTACGGCAATCTTAAAAACTGCTATACGCTAATACTAGGTATAAAGTATATAAATTAACCCTATAATACTTCCCTAGACTAAA